TGCCTTGGCAAAGAGAACTGATGCTGACACTGATTTGCAACGTTTTGATGCATGGAAAAAGGACGCCACAGTTCCGCCATTTTGGCAGAGAAAGCACATGAAATTCCATATATATTAGTGCCCTTTGCATCACATTTATGACTGGAAACATCTTTAAAACTACTTCAATAGCATCATAGGTAAGCTAAGGAATTGTATGTTTCTATTTCAACAGTATAAAATGAGAAATTTGCCTGTTTYAGTGTTTGGAAGCTTACCTGGTTTGTCTAGCTTCTTTTTCTTTCCGCCAACTTCTGAGTCCTGTGCTTTTGACTTTGCTGCCTGGTTAGAACGCTTTCGTGCAGGCATTGTAGTAAATTATGCTTAAAATGATAGGTAAATATGAAAAACAAATCCTTGAAATGTGTAGAGTTCTGCTTTGAAACTTGCAAGGTGAACCGGCAAAGTTGCACGTGGGTGCGYGCGCATGTCGAATCAAATTTGGCGGGTTTTATCTCACGATCCGGGGAATTTTTCGGGACAACCCGAGGGATCAATTTGATACGGAAACTTATCTAAAGAAAACATCTAGATTTTTTGAATATTAGTCATTTCAGTGTCAATATAATATATATCCTTTGCCCTTAGCATCCAACATCTGTTAATAGGCTTCAAAATATATTAAAACTATTTGTTTCCACACAGTATTTTCAAAAGCATCAAATTTCTCCATATAATCACAAAGAATTTATTTTCATAGATGGAAAGTAATGTTTCAAGTTGGCGGTGTCGGAATACATGCTGAAATATTGTTTTTACTTCCTTGTTCATCTCCGTCACCTCCCTCCCCTCCCTCCATCGAAACTTGGATCACAACGCATGCGTATTTGAACAACCATCTGGAGGGTCGAAAATAAAATGGCTACGGAGTCATGAATGAGAGCAGAGGTTTTGCTCCGTTATATTGGCAATCTATTTTCATGTGTGGAACACAAATATGTTCCATAGTAGGAAAGGCCACACAGATATCAAAAAGAACACTCAAAAATTTCTAGATCATAAGAAAGAAACAACTGGCAGGCTGAAAGCCCTTCGACTTCTGCTAGGTTGGAGACAACTCTTGTGTTGTTGATGGTTGTCACAACGGCAATAACAAGCTTACTTGAACTTCTTTTGCTTCTGTTATAGATGTTTTCGATAATGCAGAGTCAAAAGTATTTCTAGAAGGCCATTACTGCGAGATCTATTATGTTTTCAATGATGTGTTTTCCATTGTCGAGGCAAATCTCAGGCAGAAAGGTGCGTATTGACTTATTGTAGTTTGCTATGTACAGACTAAGRGGTCTTTTTGAGAGGRAGTAATTTATTCATTCAGTTGTCTTTGGAAAAACTTATTAGCTTGCTATGTTCTCCCTTGGTTTGACTAGGTATTGTTACTCAAATTTGTGTACATTTTGCAAATATTGACGATTTATGCATCTCGCCCTTGCAGCCCGAATTGTGTATTGTGTACATTACAACTCTTGTGGCTGGCACACGCTGACCTTTGCATCAMAATTGCGAAAAATAGTTACATATACAAGCATAATTTAATATACTACTCATGCTTTGAAAGATTAAGGAGAAGCAATGTTAATTCAGCTCTWGGCGAATTTAGAAATCTATTTTTGCAACGTATGCTGATTTCAACTTTCAATCTTTCAGGTCACAAATCAGATCTTGACGCCGTTTTATATATCCTAGAGGTAGGGCGCASAAATGGCATTTATAAATAGCAAATGGTTAATTAAATTTACTATGAAATGACCTTTTTAAGTGTTTATTTTCGCAGATTTGCTTGCAAATTGTGGTGACTCAAAACATTAGCCAAGCTAATCTGTTGACATTGTAGAAAATTACATGTATTCACACAYACTTTGTTCTTAATTATTAGAAAATACTTTTGCTTCTTCCTGAACTCATACAGAGAAGATGGCAGTTTCACAGCATTGGTAAGCATTGCTACTGTTAGAATGAATGATGATGCTTTTTGATCACTCTTACTTTACTAATTATTAGATTGTTGTTGTTATTATTATTATTGTAATTATTGTTTACAACAAAAGCTTTTTCGGGCTCAAACAGGTTCCATCATCAAAGCTAATTCTAGGGAACATGAGAAGAGAAATAATTAGTATAATGTAATTATAGCATTCTTTGATTTTTCCAATATTAAGCAAACAACATTCCCCAAACAACATAAAAAAATTTGCATCATGCATAATTAAAATAAATTTTACAATGATGTCAGAGTACATCAAGGTAGTCTTAACTTAGCCAATCAGAAAAGAGTGTAAATATATTGGAAAACTGAAACTGTTTACTTTTTCAAATTCATTCATTTACATTTTTTGGGATAAATCTTGATCTTTGAGCAGCTGATCATACATGTTTCTTTGTAAAGTATTTGAATGGTTTATCAAGGTAGTCACGGTATTGAGCTTTGAGGTGCACTGTTCCATTTGAATGTCAAAAGTGTTGACATTCAGACTCTGGTACATAATATTGCACCAAGAAATAACAGAAGTAGCCAACATTCTTCACAAAGGTTGTGATAAGAGTGGACCGAAGCTTCTTATATTTTAAGTTAATAGATATCATGACAAGCATCTAATATTTTTTTGGATATTGAAAGCTCTGTTAAATGCCAGCCGATACTTGYTCTTTCACTGTTTTTGGSCCATTTAAAGTCCATTGACAAAGAAAAAAGTAGAAAATAGTAGAAAATAAAAACAAATTGGGCAAAAGGGATAAAAATTCTAAACTTATTGTCARTTATCCAATATAACCAAAATGTGCAATTGTGTTGTTCTCAGGTCGTATAATGCTRAAGCTACTGCATCATGGSAACACAGTAAAGGTTGGTATTAGCAATATTATAGCCTTAGCTGTATGTACCTAACTCAGTGCTGACTAAAATGATGMCACACCCCTTGAAACTGCATGRTAACTATGGCAACCATCCTAGCTCCAWGGGGTGKGTAGGGARAARCAAGCAAAGTGCACAATGTTACTRCAATCTTGTGTGTATTGCAATAGCCGACTTGCGAGTTTTGCCTCAGTAGTTGCACACAAAGGAATGAAGACGAGGCTCCAGTGATAAAGCTCAGTCATTCGTGAAAAGTTTTTCACAACTGACTGAGCTTTACGCACAGTGCCTCATCTTGATTCTTTAGCATTTGACWACTTAAGTGAAATTCACAATAGGCTATTATACTGTACCTTGCAAGTTTGAGCAACATTCTTGCTGGATACTGCTGACCAGAGCAGTCACTAGGAAGCTCCACAGGAGGCCCACTACCAAACCACAAAAAAAATTAATGACGAAATTAAAACCCATAGCAAAGCTTGTCYTTGCAACACACCTAATATTTACATTCTGTTTATTTATTTTCCTCCAGTTGAGAAGAGAAGGTGTCAGGCTGTTTCTCTTGTGGTTTCAATGTCTGCAAGGCAACTCAGATGAGTTTTCTCAACTAATGTATGCCAGCATCATCCCAGGATTTCCAAACCCTGTTGACTCAATAAACTGGGAAAAATCAACCTTGTCAAAGTCAGAGGCAGAGGATATTGTGTATGTGATACGTGGACCAGAAACAGAGGACCAGATATCACATGCGTCACAGAGTACATTTCATCTTGCTGATAAGAATAGTGATGGTGAGTAATATAGGATATCTGCGTTGGGAAGATATTGCATGCAAATTATTCCTATCTATTCATAACCTTGTTGACAATGAAACTATAATAACCCTTATAGATGTATTAAAGTATTATAATTTTACAAACTATTCTTGCTATTAAAACAGATATCGTTATCRGCATTTTGAGGATAAATTTTTGTTATTTTTGTATTTCTTAAATTCTTATATTTCTACCRTTTAGACTGGTGCAGTAGAGAAGAAATCCAGCCTATTTTTCCACTTGCGACCAATGAAAGGTCACCTTCTGTTGACAAATTAACCAAGTTCTTCCTTGACAAAGTGCTGGAGTCCATGAGCACTGGTGTAAGTAATATACACAAGTTATAGAGATGAGCTGATAGGTCCTTACTTTAATTAACTATAATTATAGCTGAAATATGTATCATTTACCAAAAGGTTCATGTTGTATTTGTTTTGCTTTTCTTGTAGATTGTTCAGACTCAATGGACAGATAAGAGGTGCTATGAACTGTCTTTCGCATTCATATTCAACAGTTTTAAGAAGTATTACTTGCCATATATATTCTCTGATTGGAAACCAGAACCAACTTTATATGAAGCCAAGCCAGGTTTGTGAAT